TTACCGTTTTTGCAATAGTAATCCCTTACTTTACTCGTTACTTGAAAAAAGTAATCGGATTACAGTAATGCGTTACAAGTAACGCGTTACTGCCCATCTCTGTTTGGCATAGATGTCTCACACCACCATCTGGCTGGGGGACTTTGTTTTGAGTTTAAGTGTTATCTCCATGTTTGCCTCGGTTCTCTCCAGGAATTCTGGCTTTCTCCAACAGTCCAAAGACGTGTAATTACCGCGTTTAGCTTAATTGGTGATTCTAAATCCTCATCGATGTAGTTAGTCATTCCTGTGACTGTATCTTGGTGTAAATAGTGTGACATCCATAAAGTGTGTATGGACTTTAATTGTTGTGATTATCTGAATATACTGCTTATTTTTGTGTGAGTCAAGACTCTTGAAAAGGGACCATCTTCTCTGTGTGACTAAATTACACATAACTAGCAGCTTCTGAGGATGTTTTACAGCCTTTTCTGCATTTTTGCTTTCTTTAAAAACAAACTCTCTTTGATCTGTTTGTAAAACTGTCACATGATCAGGAGTGGAACCAGGCCCATACATTACAAAATATGAAAAAAACTTAATACTCACTTCAAGAAAGCACTGAGTTTGTCTTGGTCATTTAGTCTTTTATGTACAAATGTCATGATGCTTTTCACATCAGACAGTCTGTTTGATTCTGTGGACAAAGAAACAAAAATAACTATTTAGAACGAATTATAGACTAGAATAAACAGAAAATGTAAAAATCTTGTGTTTAAAAAAAAAAGCAAACTTGTGTGAATGAGAGAATATCAGGACCATAATGTGACCACTTACCAATCAAACTTAGTATACCATACATCATGTGACTGTTAAATTTTGACAACAGGCCAAAGAAAAAGTAATTTCTAGCATCAAAGATGAAACTGGGATGTTGGACAAATTGTGCTGCACAGAAATTTAACCCTATAGTGGTTTAAACTGTGACACTGTTTAGAAAGAGACGTAAATACCTGCAAATCCTGGCATTGACTGACGCTGTCGCTTAGCTGGTGACTGCAACCTGCTGCCGTCACTTTGAAGGTCTGATTTTCTCTTTCCTGATTGGATAAAAACAACAAAAAATAAGAAGAAAAGAAGAACGTGTTTCTCTCAGTAAAGTTATTCTTAGTAAAGTTATGTAGATTGCAAAAAAGCTATTGGTGCCACAGACTAATATGAGATGCAATAAATACGATGCATGTGTCTCACCTGTATCACTTGTGGATGGCAAGACCTGAGGATGAATATGAGTTATACAGGAAATTATTACTA